CTTTGAGCTTGGTTGTAAAATTTCTTAGTATTATTATGGGGGAAGAAAATGCATGCCTTAATTAATTTTTTACGCGTAATATAGTTCTTTGAATATTTTTTCTGAATCATGTTTCCTTTACAGAAGCGCTCAAAAGTGGGGAGCTGCAAGAAACGCTGGAGAAGGCTATGTGCTCATGATGCCAATATGAGCTACTTGTAATTTGTAAAGTTTCTATATAAATACTTTAATGGATACAATTTATACTTTGGCTGACTGAAGCTAGCAAGTGCATTGATGACTATCATCTTATACACTTTTAGATCTGTTTTACAAGCAGCAAGACTTATTAGAGGCTGCTCGTTTTTCCTTGAAATTTTTTGATTTGGTTTTTTTTTTTTCCCCCTTGTCATTGACATTGGATAAAAAGTTCATTACATACTATGGGCATTAATTATGCAAACCGATAAACCTGCACCTTCGAAGTTCATCATCACTTTTGACGGGTATTACATCCCTTAAATGTTCGCTCTCAATTCCTTTTTAGTTTCATACTTTCGTGTCACCTTAGATAATTTTCGGATAAACAAAAGTTAGAATGTAAATATGGGTCACCACTATTCAAAAAACAAAAAAATGTAAATATGGGTCACCATGTCCATTGAATAAGTCTAGTCAGATTGGGTCTAATTTTGAATCATGCTAAATTAATATGTCCATATAAGTCGAAATATATATCGGATTAGGTTGGATTTATTCAGGTCAGTTCAGTTTTTTACGCCTCTAATTAGAGTCAAGGTTTGAAGGAGTGAGCTCTTTTTTTTTTTTTTTTTTTAAAAAAAAAAAAAAACAAGTAAAACAAAAGAAAAAAAAGACTTTTTGCACCTCGAGTAAATGAATGAATAAGAAATTTCACCTCATGCTGCACGCGGAACTGTCATCTTCCCAAAAATGTGCAACTACCATTTTAGTACACTATCCTGTTTGACCCAAAATCTCAGACCATCATCGATCAATTTGCAGTTAATTACAGTTAAAATCTTCCATTAAACTTATAAAGAAAAAAAAAAATGCAAATCCCCAAAAATTTATGGTTTATGATCGCTTATTTCATCCTCTTTATCCCTGTTTTCATCTTCCTTTTCTTGCTTGGATTTGCCAAAGGTAATACCTTTCCTCTTTCTTTTTTTTGGGAGTGAGAAAACTTTCATGTTCCTAAAATACCCTTGTTCTGAATTATTGTTGCAGGTGCTATAATTAGTCCTTTTGTATTTCTTATAATTGCATTTGGTGATACTGGGTTTGTCATTGGTCTATGGCCTCTTCATCTTTTCTGGAGTATCTACTGCTTGATCAAGTAATTAATCACACATCTTTTCTTACTTTTTTTTTTTTAAGATTAATGATTTTAATTGAAAGTTGTTAATATTTTAGTATGATTATACACTGGTTTTAAATTTGATTAATTACTTAATTATACATCTTCTTCCTTCTTACGGAGTAGTAATTTTAATGATAGTAGTTGTAGCTATTTTTAGAAATGATTTGGGATTTTTATTAAATTAATTGATCAATTGGGACAGAGCAAGGAAATTCAGGATATTTTGGAGCATGGAATAAGGAATTTTCATAATTTTTTATAATCCATAATTTAAGATAATATTGGTCAATTTAGTGCAGGGACCATGAAAATTAAAGATAATTGTTGTAAATATTTTGGAACGGAGTAGATTAACTTGTTTTAGACTTAATACTATGTTGTCTAAATATTAAATAATGTGTATTTTTATATTTTTTTTGGGGTGTTACAGAACAAGGAAATTTGGACCATTTATGAAATGCCTATTGATATTGTTGGTTCCTATACCAATAGCTATCTGGACAGTGGTGGGAGTAACAGGGAGTGCGATCATGGGAATCGGGTATGGCTATGTGTGGCCGGTAATGGAAACATTTAAGGCCATCAGCAAAGAAGGGGAATCTCTTGCTATGAAGTTGGTTAGGGTCTTCACGGTAACGTTTTGGAATTTGTCCATTGTCTGTTTGCTTATATAATCAAGTCTTTGATCAATGGCTGTTAATTTGGATTGCAATTGTGTAGGATGGAACATGGAACAATATTTGGGGTGCTTGCACCATTGTTCGGGATTTTGCTGATTTTTCATTCCATTCTTACTTTTCTGTCATGGATGAGCTGCTTGACGCTAGAGGAGAGGAACCTATTGAACTTAAGTATGATCCATTTATGATTTGTATTCGGCTACATTATTTATATTGCTTTTTGTTTGAGTCATTAGTAGTTGCATCTACTTGTCTTGATGAGTAGGGCAAAAGGTTACATATATCTTGATCCGTAGTGCATTTGTCTTTCAAAACAAAAGTTGATAGTTTGTTTCTACCTTTTTCTTTAATTTTGGATCCTTATTCCGCAATTGGCATAATGAGTTTTCTTTTGATAGATATTTATCCCTTATAGAAACTTTACTGAAGCACATAGATGATAGTCTTCCAACTCTTTTCTGTTGTTTTAGTATGGACCAAGTCATCTCATCTACTACGTAGTATATTTATAAAAGAGAGAGGCCATTGCGTATGTTAGTGCATCACCTTGTATTTGTATCTGTTCATATATGATCTCATGACTTGGTGCTATATGAATGTTGTGATGATGTTCATTTTATTCTTATATTGATGTTCTGATTTCCAGGATTTAATTTCGTCTTCATCATGACTCTGATATTACCATGCAGGGTTGCTGTGTTACCAGGATGTCTCCTATCAGCCATATTTGGGATTGTTGTTGATATCCCAATCATTACGTTAATAACTATCTATAAAACTCCAATACTTTTATTCAAAGGCTGGCAACGCTTGATACAAGATCTCATAGGAAGGGAAGGGCCATTCCTGGAAACAGTTTGTGTTCCTTTTGCTGGCCTTTGGATTCTCTTGTGGCCTGTCGTGGCATTCTTTGCCATGCTGCTTGGTATCCTTTCGAGTTTAGGTTTTGGATGTTATGCTGCAGTTGTTGCATATGAGGTACTTTATATGAACTTAGTAATTATGTAATACGGAGGAATATTTTTCAATTTCTTGTATTTGTTTTTTTTAACTGTTTTTTTACTTGCTTGCATTTTAGCTCATTCTGAAACTATAACATCTCTGACTCCCACATTATTTTCTCTTCTGTAAATTGTAGGAGAATTTAACAAAAAGAGGAATATTATATGTAATTGCGTCTCCATCCATATACGATGAGTACACAAACGATTTATTATACCTACGAGAAGGTTCCTGCTATCCTAGGTATATACTTCGTATATTGTTGCTTTGAATTTCATTGGTTTTTCTCATGTATGTCATTCCCCTCGTTTAAAATACAATGTAGAGAAAATAATGAAAAGTAGAAACAAAACCTCAACATAATCTTGAATTCTTGATGCATAAAACGTGGCTTTTGAGCATATAATTTATGGAACAGTTGAAGTATTGAACGATTTGAATCTTTACTTGCATACAATGCATGTGCACAGTTTATTATTCTTTTGTTGGCCAGCATTGTTCCGTACTTGATAAACTCATGTTGGCAACCATATGAAAGCATCTCTGTACTTGGGCAGCCAGACCTAGATATCGTGATATTGCCGACCCTGGTTCAGATCCGATGCCATTGAAGGAACTCCGTAAACAGCCTGATGCAGAAGAACCTTTGATTACACAACTTTCTGATGAAGCAAACCCACTTCAGGCGAAAGTGGTAAGAACTTTGTAAATATCTAGAGCACTTGATCAGTAGATCTAATACGAAGTAATAAACTAATAATTATGGCATGTCCGTTTCAGTTTTCTGACTCGTACGCAAACTATTAAACTGTCTTTATCTCCATAGGTTAATTAATTGTTATGCATTGCATTATGATGCTTTTTAGATATGGGACAACCTTTTTAAAGCTTATGAAGACATAGGAGTGGAACTTTTTCGAGCTAGAGCCATTGGACTGCAGGATTTGGAAAGTTGGAAGCACTCTAAAAATAAGATTGTGAACATTGGTATACCAGCATATGTCTTCCTTGAGTGCTTCCTCAGATCCATCAAGAGTGGTTCTGCTGGCTTTATCATCCGTAAGAGAAACTTGCTTGACTTCTATGCTTTCCATTTTTCTGTTATTGTGGTTCCTCTTTATTGATTCTGTGCATCCCCATAATTCTGACTACATTTCTTTTGTGTTGCTTTTCTTCTTGAATAGGCGATAATGTTGAAATAACGGGAGTGAACAGACCGGAGGGAAGGATTTTTGATTGGCTTTATGAACCTATGTGTGTCATGAAAGAGCAAGTTAGGCATATGAATTTGACAGAAGCAGAAGAATTATATTTCTACAAACACTGTCTATATGCCGGTGATATTGAGAAAATTGAGGCCTGGCAGAATGGAGGAATCCCTCCCTCTGATGAGATCAAGAAGGCTCAACTGGAGGGTATAAGTAGAAGGTAGGTGTAAAGGGGAAATATTTCTAGCTATTCTCACTCTATTACAGATGTTTTTCTTCTGTGCTGCCCAATGCCCATGCTGTTTCTTATATGTATACTTTCACTCGCAAATTGTTTCAGATTGCAAGGACTTTGCTTGACATTATCAAGGCTGCCTACATCAAGACGCCGATTCTATAAAGTTGTTAACAAAATAGAACAAGAAGTAACAAAGCCCAACAACGATATTGAGGTATAAGTCAGCCTAGCTAAGAGCCTAAGACTGCACACTTCAAGATGTTGATACTTCTGTCATAATGATTGTATATCTTTCCAATTTGTTGTTTATTCAGATCTTGCCTTTGACTTTACCCAGACAAATTACCTGATTAGTTGATGAAGACTTCTGTATCAGTTTGCTCTCCCATTATTTTACTACTGTGCTATTCAGTAACCTCTTACTATTGTTTTTATCATTCATCTTACTCATGACATCTATGATCCCCGTCAAATTTATTTTATTTACTTGTCAGCATTTCTGAAAATCTGCCTATAAGGTCATACAGGCTACCGCGGTACTTTTGTCAATGCTGATGTCCTGATGAGTATGTTATAAATGTGATCTCCTGTATTTTTCCTATATGCTCCACAAATTTGGAGGATCTTTTTTATCTCGCTTGTCCAGCAGTGAATGATACACACCATCCACATTGAGAAGTTGCATGGCCCAATCTTCGAAGTATCATAATTCAGTAGAGGGATGGCAGTCTTCTGAATCATGCAATGGCATATCTAGTCTTCGGTATTCACTTTCCTAATATTCAATGAATGTATCTTTCAGCCCCATTGACTGCATCAGAAGCATCTTTCCAGGTATGATTTATCAATTCTAACGGATTAAAAAGAGTGGTTGCTTGTACATTTATACTTATGATTATACATGCAAGGAATTCTGATTACAAATTTTTGACAGTTCAAATTGCATTGCTAGAAATCTCCATGAGTGGCTTAATTATTAACCTTAAGAGAATACAATTAGTTGCTGAAAAGGCTAAGAAACCTTTTGACTATTACATCTTTTTGCAGATAACAATAATGGTCAAGGCAAAATTACTTTCAAAGGAACTATTTTTTCCACAGCTCGATATATGTGAACATCCAGGGTAAGTGGCTGTTGGCTTGTCCCTGTATCTGCCAGCTCTAGAACACAATAGTCTTCTGTTTCCAAGTTATTGTCAAGCACAAAATGTGCCCACCCTTTATTCAGTGTGCATTGAACATTCCTGCGGTTAAGGCTAACTCGCCAGATCTTGGAACCGACCCTCAGCTTAATTTCTTGAGACTCCATAGGAAGGCAGTTATCTGCAAACTCCCTTGGGATTGTCTGCATCATAAAATGTCTAATTATTAGCTGTTGTTAATAATTAAGTTATGTAGAAATCCAGAATTTGGGTATAAATACATGCCAGTATAAATAAATGGTGAACATGGCTCTGCTTCATCCTGATCTTGCAAGAAGGTCGTGTCGTTGAATGCTTGGAAGCCAAACGAAAAGCTCTCTCCTTATCCTTTTTTGTTAACGGTCTTCTGTTCGATTCATAGCACTTTCCTTTCCCAGTCCGTGATTTGGTTCCTTTTCCTTGAACGAGGTAAAAGTAAAAATTAGCTGCAGTTTATGGCTTGTATTGCAGAAGAAAGTGAGAAAAAGAAGGGAAAAAACGGGAGCTTAATAACCATTTTAATTCATACTGTCTTTTCTTTTCCTTAACTTTTCTCAATTTATTACCTATAGTTTCTTGTTGGATTTCTTCATCCTCGTCCTCCTCTTCATCATCATCATCCTTGTCATCCACCACCTCGTCCTCCTCAAATCTTGTTGAAGGTCTATCTGTTTGTTGACTCTTATTGTCGCGCATGTAGCAACAATTCTCAGCGCGTATGTCCCTACCTTGTATAACAAAGTGAGAGTCCTCTCTCTCACACCCAGTTTTATCAAATATCAGCACATTAAACAATGAACTTTCAACATGCTGGAAGACTAGAAAATCCCCTTCTTCTAGGCTGTGGTCCTTGACAAAATCTCGCCACCCATTTCTCAGCTCAATGTCCTCTCCTCTTTGTGCAAGCGCTGCTGTCCAAGAGTCTCCACTCGGGCCTCTAAGGGTCACCCTTTGTGATAATTTCTCCCTGTACTCGTCTTTGAATTTCCTCGGAATTCTCTGTGGGAACATTGGAGTTAGAAAACGTATGCTACATAAATGAACATTACATTTTTCATTTTCATGTAGAGAGGATTAGTTTACTTTACCAGATAGTTCTCAAAGTCTCCTAGCATAATCTTGAAAAAATGGTGTTTGTTATCAGGAAATTCATTCCAGTATTGCTTTTTTCTCCATGTCTTGCATTGTGCACAAACATCTGTCATTTCTGTAACAAACACCTAAAATAGTTAGGAAGTCAGTAAGTACAACAGATGAAATGAAACTACCAACAAAGAGAAGTCACGAGTAACGAAAGTACAATTCATGTATCACTTACCCTACTAAGATCAAGTTAGGTTACACGGTTACACCTGCAAGAGTTCATGTACTCCGCGTTAGCTGAATAAACTCTAGTTAGCCTCAGAGAAAAGTTACTAATGATGTAGCTGATGGCCTGATGGTCATTACTTCATTAGTACTTCTACTGTCTAAAACCTTGCTAAAATATTAACTAGCAAATATGAACATGCTTCAAATTTGTTCATGCAATAAACTGTACTTGGCTACTTATGGCATTCAGTCATATACACAAGCGCCAAATAGAAATGTGCATACCTTTGATTTGCCACAATGTTACACGAAAACATGCACAGTCCGAGTTTCAACAATTTAAGTGATAAGTGATGCCTTCCTAGTTCCTACACACTTGCTACAGAAACAGGATTGATAAAGCCTTAAACTTCATGTAAAATAATCAAAGTTGTCAATGGTACAGTAATTTCTCCATGGATTTATGAAAGCGCAAGCATCAATGGTGAAATCAATAAAGGGGAGAGAACACACAACCTTAAGGATTAACAATTCCCTTTGTTTTTATCTCTTTTGTTAGGGTTTTTCTTAGAATCATGTTCTCCATTATAGTACGTACGTACCTTCTCTAAGAAGAGGAAGAGAAAATGATTTCATTGAATCATTGTGGTGCTGCCGTGGTGGATGTGATGGCTGATGGGTTTCATTGAAGAGGAAGAGGAGATGATTTCATACTTTCATTGAAGAAGAACATGAACTTGTTTTTGCCAGAAAAAATTTGAACTTTTCCCTTTTTACATAGTATTTTTAACTTATTTACAACTATTAGCCACTAGATTGACATCTCTCTTCTATCAAGGAGAAATGGGGGAGAAATGGGGGTTGCTCTCTTTATCTTTATCTCATTTACGGAGTTACAACTTATTTAAATACATCACTTTCTCTTTATCTCCCTCCTATCACATGGGTTTTTTTTTATTTTTTCAATTTTTATTTCTCTACTCCAAAAATTGTCTAAAATTCCGTAATTATATTAAGTGATGCAACTAAAAAAATGGAAGAAGTATAAATTTATAACCAACTTAGCCACAACATCAAGCCATCAATACTCCTAACAGAAATATGTGTACAGCAAAACAGCTATTTTATTCTTGTTTGTTACACCTTCTACATTTGAGGGTGAATTATGACACCCATTCTATGATATCCATACTGACCACTCCCTGCTCATCTTCAACTCCACACCCTCTACATGCACCATCTACTATTCTACTAAGTGCTATGCTCAATTTCACACCTCTTTCATGCACAGCTTAGTTATACAATATACACATCTCATTTCACATGTTCACGGCTATCAAATGCATCAATCACTAAAATCTTTAATCACCAAAGTTTTAAAAAATATAGTGAGATGGTTTCCCTTTATAACGTTGAGGAGTACCTCCTACTATTGCCAATTGGTTTTAGTATGGAAGCTTCAAAGCCTTGTTTGTGGACCAAATCTCCCCCTCCTTGTTCGAGTTGCCCGGATCCGTGTTAATATAAACAATATATCCAAAATATTGGTAAAATGTAAGTAGCAATTTATAGATATCACTCCCGTTAACTTGTTATCTGAAATTCTTGACTCAGGCACACAACGCTTAAACCCTAAACCTCTGCAACCAAGAAGAAAGAACAGATTTTTCCTCCTGAACAATCACAGAATCATTCACCCACAAAATCCCATTAAAACCAATCTTCAATTCATATGCTATCCACAAAAATTCCTTCAAATTTACAATCTTTTCAATTTTCATGGAACCCTTCTCTTCCCAGAAATTTCTATCCCCAATCCCTCAATTCCAATCCCACCACCCCTTTCAAAACATTTTCTCTCTCCTCCACCATCAAAACCACCATCCCAAATTCTGATTCTCAACAACCCTTTATCAAAAAGCATCAATTTTTGTCAAAAATTGACCTCCCTGTTATAATTAGAAAAAATGGGAGAAATTATAAGTATTTTTGGGATGAGGGTTTTTTGGAGCTTGTTTGTGTTGATGATGGGGACCCACTAACTTTTGTTCAAAGTTTTGAAGTGGGTATAAGAAATTTTGTGAAGATTTTGAGGGATTTTTTCATACCAAAGCAAGTTACTGAGAATTATATTGAGTATGTCAAATGGAAGTTTTTGCATCGTGTTTTTAGTTCTTCCCTTCAAGTTCTTGCAACACAGGTATGTTTATTTTTGGGATTTTGGTGTTATTTTAATTCGCATTTTTTGGGTGTAATTCTATAATCAAGTGAATTGGGATGGTTTTGTTTATATAGAATTTATCATTGAATTGAATTTATTAGTTGTATTTTGCTGAGCTGCTTGTAATTTGATGAATTTAGGCGATGTTTCGAGCAATTGGAGTAGGGTATGCTCAGTCTCTTCCGTCCGCTGCGGCTATGAACTGGGTGTTGAAGGATGGACTAGGTAGATTGAGTAGGTGCATTTATACAGCTTGTGTAGGTTCAGCTTTCGATACGAATTTGAAGGTATGCTGAGTTTGTTAATGTTCTTCTACTTGTTGTTTGAGGCCTTGAGCACTATGTCTGTTTGCATTTCATCTGCAATCATCAGAAGCTTATGGTTGTATAAATTAAATATTATACTGTGGATTTATTTATCTTTTGTAAGGGGGAAAGGATGAATGAGGAATTAGTATTATGGTACTGAAGTTTGTGGGTGCTTTGTATTGTGCTTTGAAATCTATAGTTGAAAACAGTTAAGTGAATGAAGAGTATTCTCTTTCACTTTCGTATGCAGATCACTTATATTGATCTTTTCTGAATTGTTGAAGAGAGTAAGGTTCGCGACTTCAGTTATGTTCAGCTTAAGCATTGGAGTTGAGTTGATGACCCCTGCTTTTCCAAATTGCTTCTTGCTGCTTGCTTCCGTGGCCAACATTGCTAAACAGATAAGCTTGGCATGCTACCTGGCAACTGGTGTAAGGTTCTGCCCTCAACATATGCTTTAATTCTGTATTTTGTTGGATTATTATTGCTGCTGGAATCAGAACTACTTATGACTTATGAGCTTGATAAACTTGCTATAAAAATTTAGGTTTTGTATACTTAGTCCTGCAATTAGAAGGTTTATTTTTCATTTAGTATGTTTCTTCACTTATTGGTCTGTATTAGCTTTTTGAACAATTTTTATTTATGGCTTCAAAGAATACCTTTTGATTTAAGATCATAATACAGGGGATGTACAAATTTAACTCTAAAAGTTCCCTTGAGACTTTCAACTTAAAAACTGGGATAGCATTGTCTGATGTGCTTTGAAAGTTTTGTGCCGTAGGTAAATGATTTTATGGCGTTCAATGTGATTACTGATTAGGTGTTGTCTCAAGGTTATATTATGGTTCTGCCTATAAAAGCTCATCTAACTGAGTGAATTAAAAATTGCTTTCTTTACACTTTGTATTCTATATGCTCTTGAGACTGTAAGTCTCACTCCACTTCAGATTCTCTTTTAGCAATTTCATTCGCATCTCTCTTCTTAGGAGTCTGCTTCAGCAATAATAAGTACCTCAGTGCTGGCTTTTTTTCCTAGACATATCATTGTTATTCTAGTTCTTCATGTCAAAATATAACTTTGTTCAATGCATTGCCAGACAGCCGTACATCGGAGTTTCGCATTAGCTGATAACTTGGGTGAGGTTTCTGCTAAAGCCCAGGTTGGTTGTGATGTGAGATGATGCCTTTTATTCTATACACTTCCTAATATATATGCTGATTTTTTTTTATGGGTTTCAGATTCAAACAGTGTGCTTTGATAACTTGGGTCTTCTATTGGCTGCATTTTTAAATGTTATGCTCAAGAATAATGAAAGGTTTGACCCTCCATCATAATGCTGTCGTATTCTGTTCTTTGTAGAATTTTGTACTTGAAGTTTCAATATAAAGTTGGCCAAGTTCAAAATGTTCTCTAATCTAGTGAAGTTCAAAAAAGAAGTTGTTTAAGGTGTTAGCCCTTCTCTCCTTCCACACTATGTCTCCGGATGACTAAATTTAAATTTGATCTGTATCTATGTCTTTATCCATCACTTAGATTTCTCTCAAAACATCACTTAGATTCCTCTGAAAACATGTGAATACCAAATTTCCATCTGCAAATCCCTCACAAAAGATGAGATTTTCTATCTCCTCTGTTCTGCATGTTTTAGGACTTGTGATTTTCATGTTTTATATTGATTAATTTTGTCAGTAGTCACTAGATTCCTTTTTCAATTTGCATTAACTTTGTCCATCGAGTATAAAGCTCATTATCTTCTGGTCCTCTTCTTTTTTATATTATCTATAATGTACAGCACTAACCAATTTAAGTAATGCTACTTCAGATTGCAAGCAGGTTTGCCGTTTGTGGTATACCCCATATTCTCAGCAATTGACCTGTGTGGAATTTACCAATCGCTGAAGCATGTGCATCTGCAGACTTTAACCAAGGTTGGCCTATGGCTCTTTCTACCACCTCCCTCAAAAGTTAATTCATTTTCTTGTATGCAAGTTAGGCTCATAATTGGTAGATCTTTATTTAAGTACTAGGCATCATTACATCACTCATTTTTCGTTATATTGGGGTACGGGGGAATGTGAGATAGTATAGGTAAGTGCTTATGTCACTTGCCTTGAATTTTACTTGAGGGGCCAGAGAGTTGAGGAGGAATGGTAGAGATAAGTGATAATGTGAATCTAGAGAATCTATGCTGTACCGTGCAATTTTTCCTTAGGACAATGGTAGCATCCACCATTCCACCCTATGCAAGACTGTTGTGTTATCAGATAAAGGACTTTGCTCATCTTTCATAGGATATAAAGAAAGTATCTAACTTGAGATTCATTTTCAGGATAGGCTTGAGCTGATTCTCGACAAATGGATTCAGTGTGGATATGTCCCATCACCAGCTGAAGTAAGCAAGCTGGAAGGAATTAACCTT